CAGATGAAAGCATTACGTTTATTTTTTGTTGGTTTTGTTTTGTTTTTGTTTGTTTTTTCCTGTAAATTATTCACATAATGCTAAACTGTCTGTAACCACGGTCTTATTCTAGCATTCATTGCTGAGGAGGACTCTAGCCTACAAGCCTCAGAAGTAAGGAAGGATGCAGCCTTCTGACTGAAAAACATCATGTGAATGGGAGAAATTATATGGTGGCTCTAGTAATAATAATATAAATAAATAAAAGAGTTAATCGCCAGTCATTGCATCACTTCAGCTGCCGCTCAGCCTCGTGCCTAACAATGCCTATTAACTGTTCTAAATTCCCTGCAAACCACAACTTCTTGGGGCTTATTGCTTTATAAATGTCTGTTTTAGTTAGCTTACATACTAGAATAGCATAATTAGCATGATAGCTTAGCATATACATCACACATTTGCACTTCAATAATATTCAATATAAATAAATATAAAAATATATGTAAAATGTCCAAATATTTCAGTTATTACAAAATAATTAGGTTTGGTTATTCATTTATTAATTAACCGTTATTAAGTGAAGGAAATTATATTATGTCCAATTTGTTTTATTATGCATATAGTAAGCAATTATTTTACATATTTTGTCACAACACCATTTTCCATAGGCTATAAACCTGAAGCTTAGGAATGCACATGCACATAATTGGCTGGACCCACCTGAAGTATATGCTTTTTTAATGGTGTTTGAGCATAAGAAACAACATTTGTAAGACTGTTCATGTCAGTTTTTATTGCTGATTTGAGTTTGGCAAGCAGTTTTTGAGATTTCGTTATTTCACGTAGATAGGAGTTGGTCAGTAAACTGAATTTCCTTAAAAGGGACTTTGGATTAAGTCACTGAGGCTTGCATGTAGAACTGTCACTTGATCTACAGTCTACATTAATTCAGAAATTCCAGAAGTCTGTGGTAAGTGAGTGAACAGCAAAAAGTCACAAAATTACTCTTCTTTTATATTTAGTGTACTACAGTGGTGCAGTTATCGGTAACACTTTATCTTACCAGTCCACATTAGACATTCTACTAACTATAAGTAGCTACATGTCAAATACAGTACCAGTCATCAGAATATTGACTGCTTAATAACTCCTACCACTTTATTTTGATAGTCCCCCAACAGACATTCTATTGACTATAAGTGACTTTACAAGTACATGTCAGCTTATTCTACTAACGCTAAACCTAACCCTACAGTCTACTAATACTCTAATGAGAGTTAGTTGACATGTAGTTGCAAAGCTACTTATAATTAGTAGAATGTAAAAAGTGGACTATAAAAATAAATTATATTCCCAAATCCAAGAGAACTGCTGAAGACACAACTTTTCAGTGAGAACTTAACTATAAACTGCTAAGGCAGTTGCTCTTAAAATTTAAGGCCAGTTCATACCTAGGACAATAACTATAAAGATAACTATGATGACTGTATCGTTATCTTTTCATGCCTGAACTTTTTACCATAGTTCATTTAGGTCATTTACTATGATATTTGTTACAAACACAATGTTCAGATCGAAACTGATCTAGATGGATGCTGTGTGAATTAGTTTGAGGCAGATGCAAATTGAAATACAATTAAAACGATTAACATGTAAACTCAAACACAAAAGCCACTGTGTGAATGATGTATACTTTTGAATGTTATGACGCTGAGTTACACAAATGCACACAGTGGCATGACAAATAAACTACAGTAAAATATATTTGCATAATATATTATCAATGGCTTATCAACAATGCTAAACATCCCTTTTTCCATTTGACATTTCAAGAATGTGTGCTGTATAAAAAGTAAAAGTCACCACCTATCTGGACATCCAATTAAACAATTTATGATTACTCTAGTGAATGATTCTCTTGGACAAGTTACCGTAAGGTGGAAGAAAACTTAATATGGATTGATAGGAAAGCAGTTGACACAACAAACAAGGAAATACTGAATGATGAAAATATGGGAGCTTGTATAAAACACAAAGTGCAAAACTACCAGTCCAAAGTTTAGTCGCCTCTTGTCATTCAATATAGTATTACTATTTTCTACATATTACAAAAAAGTGGAAATGTAGGATACTTGTGTAGACACACTGGTTTCCATGTTTTATGGGAACATTTCATAGACTTAATGATTTTTATACTGTACTAACTGTGACAAACATTCAAATGTAAACACACTGAAACCCATTAGACTCAGTTAAGCTGCCATTCTATGTACTATTTCTAAGCCAATCACAATCTGTTTACACTAATTCGTTTTCATTTTAAAACTGCATTTTAAAATGAAAACGATCCTCGTCTACACTGGCGTTTTCACTGCATTTCAGAAATGATCTCCGTCCACACTACACAACCGAAAACGCATGTCACATGACCATTCATGCACACTGGGCATGCGCGTAAAAGTGTAAACAGGAAGTTGGTTGCTAGTCACTGGCAGGTACAAGAATAAGCATGATGGCGAGGAATAGCAAGTACGTCTTTGTTGCCGATTGCTCTAAGCACAGCTTGCCTCTTGCGCATATAGGCTGCTGCTGTATTATAAAATACTGAATTTAGCTGCACAATGGCTGCTAAAATGAGAAAAAAAACGAAAAAAAAACGCACTACTGTAAACATAGCCTCTGTAAACAGCACTAGCAATGTGATGATACTTACCAGCAACTTCATAGCAACGCTCTAGCAACCATCCAAACCAACCTAGCAACCACCCTGATTACCCTAGTAACACCATAACAACCACCTGAGTACTCGAGCAACTGCATAGCAACCGCCCTAGCAACCACCCCAAGTACTCTAGCAACTGCAGAGCAACGCCCTAGCAACCACTGCAAGTACCCTAGCAACCGCATAGCAATGTCTTAGCAACCACCCCGGGTACCCTAGCAACCGCATAGCAACATCATAAAAACCACCCTTGCAACCACACAGAGTACCCTAGCAACAGCATAGCAACACCCTAGTAACGACACAGAGTACCTTAATAATCACCTAGAAACAACCTAACAACCACCTATAATACCCTTGCAACCAACTAGCAACAACCTAGCAACCACCCTGAGAACCCTAGCAACCACATAGCAACACCCTAGCAACCACCCCGAGTACCATAGCAACTACCTAACAACACCCTAGCAACTGCCTAGCAACCACCTATCACACCCTAGCAATCACCTAGCAACCACCCCAAGTCCACTAGCAACACCCTAGCAACGGCCTATCAACCACATATAACACACTAGCAACCATACAGAATACCCTAGCAATTGCATGGCAACACCCTAGCAACCACACAGAATACCCTAGCAACTGCATAGCAACACTCTAGCAACCACCATGAGTACTCAGAATATGGCCATTTTTTAACAGCAATATATATATATATACATAATCATGAAGGTCTCTAGAATCATCCACACAAAGCAAATCTTCCAGGAGATCTATAGTTTTTTGTATACTTAATCAAAAGCTCAAGCGGCAACTATAGTTGCTGGTGGGCAAATGACTTGTAAGTACATATCATGGGGAAATGGGGTATACTGTGTTAATAGGCATCTATCTATCTATCTATCTATCTATCTATCTATCTATCTATCTATCTATCTATCTATCTATCTATCTATCAAAACTATTGTTTATTCAAACTTCAACTGAACAACTTCAAGCTACAAACTTTTAGCGGCAACTATAGTTGCCGGTGGGCAAATGACTTGTAAGTACATATGATGGGGAAATGGGGTATACTGTGTTAATAGGTTAATAAATCAAGGTTATTGGTCTTGTTTTCTGCTTTTTGCTTTCATAATATCCCACCTAAAACATAACTTACCCCTTTAACTGACATCTCAACTGTACAGTAGACCTTAATTTGATAGGGAATAAATCTTTCGAAAGGAGGAGATGAGAGAGCAATCTTTCCACAGCTCTACTGCACCACTTCTGTGTCTGCTTTTGCCATAGGGATTTCCAGTTTCCAAGTGACAGCAGCAGTTTACAAACTTCCGTCAGTCACACAAAAGGAAGAATGGAAAGATAAAGCATGGGATTAATTGCTGTAGATTATCTTTTTCTCCCTTTATGACATTATGTCTTGTAAGGGGCAAAATATTGAGGCCCCTTTATCCAGTTTGGATGCGTTTCATTCTAACTGGTCAAGGACCCTAAGTCTTTTTATGACTAGCATCTATCTATCTATCTATCTATCTATCTATCTATCTATCTATCTATCTATCTATCTATCTATCTATCTATCAAAACTATTGTTTATTCAAACTTCAACTGAACAACTTCAAGCTACAAACTTTTAAAACCACTTCAAATAGGCTTTCTCAAGCCAACTTCAAAGTTTGTTCACAAACTTTACTTGTCTAGTTTATAAGCTGTTTTTCTCATGGTAACCAAAAAAATTCCACAAGGTCAAAAATGGTCCACATAATGTACGGAAATAACAGGTACACACACAAATGCACACAAACAGTGGTTTCCATGTTTTATGGGGACATTCCATAGACACAATGGTTTTTATACTATACAAATTACTGGTATTAGTATCCTTGTGGAGACATTTGGTCAGCATAATGTGGGAATACCAGGTAAACACACACACAAATAAAACTCTTTAGCTTCTTCAAAGCAGCCTCCCTTTCCAAACTTAGTTATTCTCTTCATGAATCTTCCAGCTTCATGAGGTGCATCCTTTTTAAAAAACTATTGAAAGAGTTCTTCTAATGCTAGACATTGGCTTCACTATCCAACAACCTGTTTCAGAAGGGCCAACAATAGAAAATATACTATGCAACGTGATTGATTGATTGATTGATTTTTAGTTCTTTGTGTGCTTAAAGTGTGTCTTATTTAACCCATTTAAGCCCACCGGCAACTATAGTTGCCACTATAGGCTAAGAGAGCTATGGTTAGTGTCCCTGATTTTTTTCAGACCTCTTAACCCTTTAGAAAGGGTGGTCCCCACATGTGATGATTATAAAGTTGGTCCCCATCAAACATGGAAACCAGTATGTGTGTGTGTGTGTGTGTGTGTGTGTGCAGGTGCGTCTGCAGGTGGGCCTGTACGTGGTGTATCTTCTGGACTGGATGTCAGTGTTCAGCCGTGATCAGCTCTTAGTTTTGCGTTTGGAGGATCATGCTTCAAACCCGGAGCTCAGCATGAGCAGGATCTTCCGCTTCCTGCGCTTAGGTCAGTCCTGATGAACTCGTGTTCATGTACATGCTGTGAGCAGCAGGGGGCGCCACGTTCATCATCATCATCATCATCATCATCATCTGATTAGTGTTGTCATATAGACCATGCCGATCAGAATATGTAATGTGTATTAAAAAAATAACTAAAGAGACAAAAAATATATGAACCAAATGTGATTTTAACACTTTATATATAATGCATTATGAAAGTAGTTTTAATGCATTAATTTTGCCTTGTAATGCACTTTATAATGCATCATATGAATAATTGTAACCACAGTTATCATACCTTATAATACTTCATATATTCATTGTTACACCTTTAGAATGTATAATGCATTAAAACACATGACAAAATATTAGAATGCATTTTAACTCTGGTTACAATTATTTATGAAAAGATACAATGCATTGCTTTATTTGAAGTGTTGGCGTGATGTTAAACTGTTGTTCAGATGTGTCTGACTATGATCTGTGAATGAACTCTTGCAGGAGCGCTGTCTGATCAGAGACAGAGACAGATCAGCAAGCGTCCCGCGTCAAACACCAGACATCCGTCCGACAGGGATCTGGGCCCGATGCGTCCCATCACACGAGAGCTGCTCACGCTGTTTTACGCTCCGTTCAATCAGAGACTGGCAGAGGTTCTGCAGGACGAGTCGTTCACGTGGGACGGTCGCTCTGAACACACCTGACAGCCGTGTGATGTTCCTGGATCTCACAGACACCATGAAGTCTGTCCGACAGCAAATGTGGAAGAATCGGGCTTTTATCTGTACTTTCAAATGGATAGTTCACCCAAAAATTATTTATAAAAACACTAAAGAAGATATTGTGGAAAAATTGGAAACTGAATAACTTTGGACCCCATTGACTTTCACTGTACGGATGAAAACCACTGAGGCGTTTCTCAAAACATCTCATTTGTGCTCCATAAAATAAAGACACGAGGGTGAATAAATGATGACAGAATGATTATTTTTAGGTGAACAATTCTTAAACCAGCAGCCTATAGATGAAAACTAAAGCACTAGAAATCCAAAAATCGCTTTATATCACTTTTACAGAATTACAAATGATGCACTCACTTCATTTTCCGTCAGAGAAAGATCTGCACTGCGCATGTGCGGAGTTTATTCTCACGTTTCCTTCACTGACTGCTGAACACACAACATTAACAAAAACAGCTGATGCTAACGAAAAGATCAAATTAAAAAAAGATCAGCAGCAACAAAACACAACAGTATTTCACGAGTTCACACTTACATAGGTTTTGTGTATTTGGCGTGCTGTCCGAGGGGAGGGATGCTAGAAAACGCTCAAGGAACAGAGGCAAGTCTGCTGTGTATATACACCTCGTATCTTGTTAATTGAGTTGGTTACTGAATGTGCTCTTCTCGTGTTAATTAGGTTAATTATCTGAACATGCGCCTCCCGATAATAATTTAATCAAGCAGTTTTGAGGCTCATATGAATCTAAATTAACATAAAAATATATTTTTTGCTGAGATTAGATATAGTGACACAATTTCGCGTCGTGATTACGTAAGGACGTCATTGCGCAATGACATGACAACGTCATTTAGCAACTTTTAGCAACAAATCGACCTTCCTTTAGCAACTTCCCACGAAAATTAGTTGGCAACACTGCTGTAAGCTCTTCTCACGTTCATTAAAAACATGATAGCAACATACTAATCATGTTAGAAAGATGCTAACAACATGCTAGCGATATGCTAATAATGCTAGAAACATTCTAGCGACATGCTAATAATGATAAAAACATGTTAACAATATGCTAATCATGCTAAAAACATGCTAGTGAAATGCTAATCATGTTAAAAACATGATAATCATGCTAGTGAAATGTTAAACATGCTAGGAAAATGTTAGCAACTTGCTACAAACATGTTAACGACATGCTAACAATATGATAATCATGGTAGAAACATACTAGAAACATGTTAATCATTCTATAAACATGCTAACATGCTAGCGACATGCTAATCATGATAAAACATGGTAGAAACACTAATTATGCTAGAAATATGCTAGTGACACGTTAAACATGCTAGAAAAATGTTACCAACTTGCTACAAACATGTTAACAACATGCTAACAACATGCTAATCATGGTAGAAACATACTAGCAACATGCTAGGCATTCTATAAACATGCTAGCAACATGCTAATCATGTTAAAAACATGCTAGCAACATGCTAATCATGTTAGAAACATGCTAGCATCATGCTAAAACATGTTAAAACATTCTAGCTATGTTCTAATTCATGCTTTAAACATGCTATCTAGCTATCATCTGACAATATCTATTTATCTATTTTTTATGACGAAACTGTATTGCCTTCAAAACATTCAAACTTTAAGCTTTAAAACTAATTTAAACTTCAAACTATTCCAAACTGAAAACCGTCAAACTTTTAAAACCACTTCAACCACTTCAAATAGGCTTTCTCAAGCCAACTTCAAAGTTTGTTCACAAACTTTACTTGTCAGCTGTTTTTTACACTGTTATGATCGTCTCCCTTGGATTTTCCTTGCGAAACCTTCACATAAAAATTAGTCTACTGGCTCTAATTTTTTAAGTTTCGTTACATGCTGTTCACACATTTGCAATAAAAAGCAATTAATACTTGAAAATGCTTTCATAAAAGGAGGAGATGAGAGAGCAATCTTTCCACAGCTCTACTTTCTGTGTTCTGTGTCTGCTTTTGCCATAGGGATTTCCAGTTTCCAAGTGACAGCAGCAGTTTACAAACAGTCACACATCACACAAAAGGAAGAATGGAAAGATAAAGCATGGGATTAATTGCTGTAGATTATCTTTTTCTCCCTTTATGACATTATGTCTTGTAAAACTATAGTTGCCGCAGTTTATAGTTGTCATTTTCCTTTTGTAAGTATTTTTCTAGATGTTATCCATGTTTTATTTCTCAATGACATGCAAGCAAACAACCAAATAAAGGATTTAAAAAAAAAAAGAGGTATTCACTTCCTTCCTGTAACATGAGGCTGTCAAGTTCCTACCCCTTTTTTTATTATATAGATGCAATATTTTCTTCATTCTATTTATTTTTTATTATTTATTTTCATTTAACTAACACGCCTCTAAGAATGAAAATACCTGCATGTTCAACAATAAGTAAATAAATAAACAAGCAATCATGGGTGTAGCCTACACATGATAATTATTTAAATAATCATATATTTAAAAAAAGAATATCATTAATTTCATGAATATCAAGGACTTTTGTCAGGGTTAATCCATTTGACCTAATCAATATGTGCCTATTCATAAAATATGTGATATTTTACATATTTACATCGCAAAGTATAGTATGCAAATATGTGTATGTACATTTATAAAACGACTTGTACATTCACTGCAGTACTCCTTGTAGGCTACTTGTAGGCTACTTATACTAAAACTGCTTATGTAAGGGAAAGTTCACCCAAAAATGGAAATTGTGTCATCATTTAGTCACCCTCAAGTTGCAAACCTATGAGATTATTTCGTCTGTTGAGCACAAAAGAATATATTTTGCAGAATGTTGGTAACCAAACAGTTAAATGCGTAATTTTCTTTCAGGTAGTTTCTTTTAGATGTAATATTTTCTTCATTCTATTTATTTTTTATTTTTTTCATTTAACTTTTTGATACACAATACCCTGTTGGGGCAACTTAATG